GATACAAAGACATAATTGGAAAACATTGGAGCCACATTATAGTTTGCATTTTACTAAATGAGCTACTGTTGAATAACTGTACCTTTAGCTTTTCAACTTCAGAAACCAAAGCTTTGATTTCTTGTGCCTTCTTCCTACTGTCTTCTTTCATCGTGAAATTTTCCTCTCTCAACTGCTTAACCAAATCAGTACTCTCTTGAACCTTCTGGAAGTTTGTTTTCAGTTCTAAATTTTCCTAATAGAATAAACAAGAATTAAATTTTAGAGTGTGCAGATATTAAAAATGGGGATTATGGATCTAGAGTCAAGCTTTAATTCTCACCTCAGTCAAGTGGTTTACTTGGGAAAGTAAAGCTTTATTTTCTTGAGCAATCTTTTCACTGTCTGCTTTAAGCTTCAAGTTCTCCTCTCCAAAGTACCTTCCTAAATCTTCATCTTCTCGTACCCTCTGACAAGATGATTTAAGTGTTAAATTCTCCTGAAATTTAAAACAGAATTTATTTAGCCTCACCAATGATATGATAAGCAAATAATGGAGGAATGGGAATGGAACCAAGACTAAAGCTTTAATCCTTACCTCTGTCAACTGGCTTACTTGAGACAATAAATTTTCAATTTCGTGAGTTTTCTTTTCACAATTGGCTTTAAGATCTGAATTTTCCTCTCTCAGGTGCTTCACTAAATCTTTAACTTCCTCTAATTCTGCTTGACTTGTGCTAAGCTCCGAATTTTCCTGTGATCCAATATCATAAATTGGTATTAGCATACGTGTACAAAGCAAAACATTTCAGGTGAAACAGCTGGTTTTTTATTTACCTTTTTCAAGCGGTTTATATCAGCTTTTACTGCAGCTAAACTATCCTGTAAGAGAAACATTCAGCTTTTATTGGTCTTCAACTGATTTGAAATTTGTTTACATCAACACTAGACATCAAATAGATATTTTATAACATATAATTGGAAATACCCTCTAATCTGACAGCATATTGAGAGGCGACAGTTTTTCGCATTCGGCTCAGATGATAGCAAGGGTCGTATAGGGGAGACAAAAATTTAGTTACACACCTTTAAATTGGTTTCCACCTGACTGACATATTCCTCTAATTTTACAAGGTTGCAGCAGATAATACAGTACCAGAAAGGAAGTTTCTCTGCTGCGGTGAGCATGAGACATAATATATTAATTCCTATCAAACATAAATCCCTTATTTTTAAGAGAAAAAGCAGGGCACAGAAACACTTACCTTGCTTTTTAGTAACATCACAGCATTTGCCATGAAACCATTTATAACATTTATCACATAATATCATGAATCTGGAACAATGGTAAACAAAAAAGATAGAATACAGAAGCATATAATAATGCCTTGTAATCAAGAAACTAAAACTAAAATCGCAATATGACTGTACCCAAATTCCTTTCTACGACAGAAACAATACAGTTTTCGTTTTTCGTTGCCCATTTTCGTTTCACTTTAACCTGTGACTGATATTAAAATACGAAAGAGCAGAATTTCAAACTCCCAGCTAATTCAACGGCCACCCGAGTATTCCCCTCGGTGTGTCTTTTCTGATCGAAGCGTGCGCCATACCTCCGCGGCCTACCGTAGCCTCGCCAGTAGGGGCCATCCGTGACCGGCGCACAAGGGTCCGGTACGTTATAAAATCTCGCCACACATTCAGGTAGGCGCAAGGGAGATTCCTGAAGAAATGCCATACCAACACAACAACAACTTCTCAACAACAAACTTAGGTTGTGTTTGATTAAGAAAATACTCGTACGCCTTTTATACAGGGATATCTGTGTTTCGGCCTTTGCCGCCGTTGTGAAGGTGTCTCCACAATGGACGTCTGACGAAATGACGATAACGCCCGATGCATCGATGGTAGCGCCTGCGGAAAGCAGGGTAGGCCATCCCGCCGAGCAGCTGTGTGAAGTCGGCGGCCCAACCAGAGCGCCCAACGCGGGGACCGCGGGGACACCTCCGGGCAGCTAATAGGGGAACGTCTGGCGCCCGCTCGAATCAACTCGCGGGACGTTCATAGTTGAAAATGTATATCCAATAGCCCATTCCAAATTGAAGACCTAAGTAAAAAGTTGTCGAAGGTCGGGTCTAAAACGATTTTGACTAGAAGTAACCTTTTGTCTAAGTCCGAGCTCTCTGCGACGAAGCGCCAGTGAACTGATTGGTCTGTTCGAAACGTCCTTTTTGGGCGCTCGATGCGAGGCGTCATGTTGGAGCACTCGCCACGCGCACCCACTGACAGGAGTGACTTACCGTACTGCCGAGATAGGTCCATATGACCCCTACTTCCAGCTCGACCACCAAAATCCGCAGGGGCACAAATGAGGAAGTTGCCCAGTGTGGCGGAGCGTAGCGGGAAACAAAACAAAGCACCATAACCTACGAAAAGGAATACTTTATATCGCGGATTAAGTTCTTTTCTCGAAGTGCTATGTGAATGCATAGGTGTATATAAAGGCTGCGCATTGATTAAAACCTTGTCAAATACTACTTTCTGGATGTATAGCGTAGTTTTCTTTTGTTGCTTTCTGCTTTGTTTTGGTTCCCCGCTACGCTCTGCCACACTGGGCAACTTCCTCATGACGCGAAGTACGGCTAGCCGTATAGCATGCCAGTGCTAGTTTGAGGGCGAGAGCTGAGGAGAGGTGTGCGGCGGGGTGTATCCGGAGGCTGGATTTTGTTGATTTCCCGCGCATCATATGATGCAGGAGGGTTGCTTCGGCTACCTTGGGCGCGCTTCGGCGACAGGTCAGCCGACACTGTAGCCCCCAGCTGGCAGCCAACGGGACCGAGACCGTCTGAGTGGGACCGTTTGCGGTCTCTGTCCTGCAGCGATAGCTTCACTGTGGCAACAAACTCTTGTCTGTGGTAACCAACTATTGGCTGCCTTAGCAAATTTGGTATTAGCTGTCCGAAAATTAGCTAATTTGTTAGTTGTGATCACTATTTTTTTCTGTGGAGTGATAACCCTTTCAAACCCTTCTCGTGCGGGAAGAGAGTCGATACAGCGTTGGAGCGATATAAAACCTCCACGCATAGATCGGTCCTGGAGTGGGCTCGCGACCGCGACCTCCGCGCGCACCACAAGTTTACCGAGACGGACGGCGACCCCGTCAACGAGGAGCGTGGCTTCTTCTTTGCGCACATCGGCTGCTGTTTTATCAAGTTAAGCCAAGCCGAACACGAAAGCCAGCCCAAGCCGAACACGAAAGCCTAAAAACGACGTCTTTTGGGTGGAGGGGGAGGCTTGCGGCTGCAGCTACCCCCACTCCGAAAAATTCGTCCCCGGGCATCGGGCTCGAGTTTCGGCTTGGGATTGGGCTTCACAGTTAAAACCTTACGAAGCAAAATGCCAAATCCTTCGTAAATACGAACTTGCGCGTTCGGCTTCGCTTAAATTCATATAACATGGCTGATGTACAGGAAGCACCCCGAGGTTGTACGCCTGGGCAAGACCATCACCATCGATGTGAGCGATCTGCAGTCTGACCCCTGCGATACCTTCCGAAGAAGTTGGTACTCGCCACTTGCCATCTCTGTGAACATAGCGAATTCGCGGAATGTAATTCCCTGCCCCACTGTGACTTTAACAATTTTCAGTATTTCTTGTAATTTGCGATTAAGAAGACGGTGTTGTAAATTTACCTATGGTACCGGTATCGTAAATTACCAGTGAGAAATGATCAATTCAAAAGACACCAATTTGACATCAATAATGAAAAGGTGGTAGTATTATTTTGACAAATTTACGTCAAATTGGTGTATTTTTGATTGATCATTTCTCACTTGGTTTAGTATACGACCACCAACAATTTTTTCACCTTTGAACCTACAATTATTTTTCGTAGTGTTGGCAAGGCACAGATCTAGGACAGGATCCAGTCACCCAGTCACTTTCAATGGGAAAGGGTAAAGGGAGGAGGGGGCGGGGGCGTCGGCGCGGCGTCGCGCGGCGCAAATGAGACGCACCAGCTGCGCGCGCGACCAGACTGCTGCACTCCGCCTGTGGTCACCCCCCCCCCCTTTGCCTTGTTGCATTAGAGTCACACTCGGTAGAACCGAGGGGGCAATAACTACCTGCTTTTGATGTGTAAAAAAAAAATACTTGCGATTTTACCTACCCTGGGCTTGGCAACCCCACTCTACAAGCCCTAGGTGGTCAAAATTCCTTGCCCAGTGGGAGTGTGGACTGACAAAGCCCACGGGGCTAAGAAAGTTACCAGCCCAATGGGCGCGCTGGGTGACTCCACATGCCCGACTTGCTAATTTACAACCGTGGGCAAGCAAAGGATCTCTGCCTGCCCAGGGCTTGTAGAGTGGGGTTGCCAAGCCCATGGGCGGGGAAAAATGCAAACCCTGGGCAAAATAATTACCCGAGCCGGATTTTTCCTTTCCGGACTTCTCCCTCCTTAACCGAACGTACATTTTTAACAGATTTATTAACGCATGCAATGGCTTTCTACTTGCCCACGGGTGGTAAATTTACCAAGCTGTCGGTGCAAATTCCAAAGTGTGGGTGTGTGAATTTACAACTCGTGGGCAGATAGAGGAGAATCAAATGCCCGCTGTGCGAATTTCGAGTGTGGGTTGGTAAATCCGCAAGTTTGGGTACGGAAATAAACCCACCCACTGGGCGTGCATATAGACATTGCATGCCCACTGGGCCATCAAATCAACTTTACAAGACGGGTAGGTAAAGTTGCAAGTCCACACTGTATGTTCCTTACGAACAACTGCTCTTCGTAACGTACAAATGATTTAGAGCATTTGTATTACAAACAAATTGTTTGTATTACGAAGAGCCTAGTTTGTATTACAAACGAGGCTTTTCGTATTACGAATGGGGGGTGTTCGTAATATGAAGGAAAATCATTCGTAATATGGCTGCTTTAGATCCTTTGTAAGTTACAAACAAATTCTTTGTAATACGAACACCGCTGTTTGTAAGGGACTAAGAGTGCACTGGGCGGGTAAAATTCCACTTATTTTTTATAGTCCCCGCGGGGACGGCTTCCACAACTTTGCACCACGTGTTTCCGTGGGACTACAGGATGGGCGAGTGCGGCTCCTACATCACCAACCTCAACACGGCCTTCATCGACGCGATGGCGGTCCTGGGCCCGGCCTACGGCCTACGACCTCAAGACCCACGCCGGGGCACGATACGGGCGCGCGTGCTGCGCAGGGCGACGGTAGCCACCGGGTGTGGGGCTGGGGCGACAGAGACGTACCCGCGGAGCAACGCGCGCTCGCCGCAGGCAAATGAAATACTGGTGGCTGGAAAAGCCCGTCGTCCGCTCTCGTAGTTATACCAGGTGACTGGTGCTGACTGTAAGGTCTCGAAGCGCCTGGTAGGTAGGCATCATCTTCCCTGCAGTGCATGCGCGTACTGAGGAGTGGCCTACCCTGTGTCTTGCAGGCGCCGAGCTCCTGTGTACAATTTGTGGAATGAAAAAGTGAAAAACGGACGTATACTTCCTGGACAATCCCTCACGCCACCATGACGCCACGCTCTTTCGTAATTATACTGTAACGCATGCGCGCATGCGCGAGTGGGTTGCTCACACTGTTAAAAATCCTGTAGCAAAAGACGACAAAGTACAGGAAAAGTATAGGATTTCCGTACATGATGAGGTACAGGACATCCGTACTCATTTAGTGTAGTCCCCATAAGGCTCCAGTTAAAAATTCCTGTACTCTGTACTCAATAACACAGTAACCATGCAATCACGGAAAGACCAGGCAAGTGTATGACCAGTAAGACTGTACTAAATACTGTGGTTTTTTGCCCCCCTTTCTGCTTTTGAAAAAAGCATTAAAGAGGGCTGATGCAACCGCTCTACCGCTCTTGTGTCCGTCCGTCTGTCTGTCTGTCCGTCGTGTGTGTGAGAGGAAGGAGATGAGCTAGATTTTAGGGTATCTTAGGGGGTCACTCCTGGACAACGAGACGCCCGGTGCAAATCCTGGCAACCTCTGAGGAGGTGAAAGGGGGTAACAAAGAAATAGGAGTTGGTCCCAAAAGTAGGAATTTTTCTTTGGTCTTCTAAGAAGGGGTAACTCGTAGACCCTTTTTGACCTAAAATTTTGTCTGTTTGACTCTACCTTGCACCGTTTGGGCGCTAGAGTGTTTTTCGACAAAAAATACGGTGTAAATGGCCACGTTGCACATAAAGACGTACAAGGAGGCGTCCAATCGAAAAATGTAAGGGATGGTCGGGGGAAGTATCATTCTGAATCAGGAACTACCCTCGGGTTTGCCTTTCACTGTATCAGACCTCCCTGACGTTCTGCCTAGACACATTCTAGATATAACCTGACAACTTCTAGACATGTTCTAGACAGTAGCACGTTTGGAACATGTCAAGAACTTGTCTGGAAATGTCTAAAACGGGGCAAATGTCTAGATTGTCCTGATAATGTCTAGACTCCCCCCAGGACTCAATGTCTACTTCTGATCTAGAACAAGCCTAGAGCAACTAAACTGTCTAGCTCGCGTCCAAAACCCGTGGGGCTCCTCCAAAGATAATGTATATATACATATAGACCTATAGGTCAAGTCTAGATCATATCTCGATCATCCGAGTCCACATCATGTCTGAAAAGTGTATATAATGTCCCCAGGACTCAATGTCTACTTCTGATCTAGAACAAGTCTAGAGCAGCTAAACTGTCTAGATTACGTCCAACACCCGTGGGTCTCCTCCAGAGATAATGTATAGATCGAGTCTAGATCATGTCTCGAGCATTCGAGCCCACATCTAGCTAGAGGTGGATATATTTACACTGTTAAATTCCTACAAAGCATTCGCTTTGCAGAGCTGCGAAGTATTTTGCTCCTTTGTAACTACGAAGCATTTACTTTGCAATTACAAAGTGATGCTTTGCAATTGCGAAGCAATGAAAACGCTGCAAAGCATCGCTTTGCAATTGCAAAGTGTCACTTCGTAATTGCAAAGCATCACTTTGTAATTGCAAAGTAAATCCTTTGTAGTTGCAAAGGAGCAAAATTCTTCGCAGGGATTTAACAGTGTAGGCTACAGGCTACATACGCAGGCACCAGGTACATAGTTCACACGCGCGCTTGTCGAACGGAATTAGGGATAGTCCAGAAAGTACGTCCTTTATTTGCCGTTATACGAATCCTCAAATTTCAGCTAATGCGAGCTCTAATAGCGCCTGATAGGTAGGCAACATTTTGCCTGCAGTGCATGTGCGTATTGACGGGTGGCCTACCCTGAGTCTCGCAGGCGACAAGCTCCCGCAGGTTACCGAGCGGTAATGAGTTTTCTAGCGACGTGCAGGTCGCATCAATAAACATTACAAATTCAATCAGACTATACAGTGAAAAATACCAGTTTTAAATGTCAATGTTTAATCTTTCCGAATTTTAAAATGTCAGCAGTAACATTTTACCCTGCCGAGTTCAAATAATAACACGGAATAAGACGTGTTCTGTGTTCTTAGAGAACCTTTGTTCAGAACCCTATCACATATTACTTGTAGGCTCGTTTAGTTGGAAATTTTACGGGTAATTCAATGGTGCTTTCAAAAATTAAATTTCAGGTCTCGTTTAGAAAATATACCACAAAAACTGAAATGTGCACCGCGTTATCATCTAGTGATCGAGATGCGTTTTTATGCAGTTTTCTGTGCGAGCTAGTTTTGAGAGATCTTATCTAAAGTGGATGCAAAGTGGATTCAAGCGGGGTCCACACAATTTCCACAGAACCTTCGATGAATCATAATCGCACTTGAACAAAATGCTGCATCACTTTGATTGAAGTAAGGTTGCGACATTACCGGTAACAATCAATGTTACCGTACATTACGGTAAAAATGGTAATTTATCGGAAATTTTGGAAAATTGGAAAAATTCAATTCGAAGCAAGCGTTTGAAATTCGTGTGTACTGCCTAGAAAGTGTCGAAATAGCCGGTATTAGCTATACCTATTGGAATTTTTGTGTTTTTAGCCCGCCCTTCTGCTTTTAAAAAAGCATTAAAGCGGGCTTATGCAACCGCTCTCGTGTC